TGCCAACCAGAGGAAGCTGGTTGGCAGTTACTATACGCTGGCCGCATCGAAAGAAGGTGGTCTGATGGATCGGATACATCACAAACTGCATAATCTCCTCAGACATCACCCTAACCATTGAAGGAGTGTACTTGAGGTGGGAGAGGAACCTTACGCAAATGGTGGTCGATTGATCAGGGAGATATGCTAGCATGTTCTCAAATTTCTTATTGAGGCTCGTGGGGAAAGCTGGGGCAACTTGTACTTCCTAAGAGGGTAATGGGCATACCAAAATTCAAGGTATTCCCCCATGCACTTGCATTTCCTACGCAGGTATATTCAAGAAAATTATAATAAAGGACATACTGGAAATGCTGGAAGGACTCTAATCAGTCATCTTCTGTGGCGGTGAGGTTTGATGTATGTGTCACGCATTCATCTTCCAATCAGAATATTAGATGCGATTAGATATTCTCGAAGACATGACAAGGCAAGCGGGGGTAGCCAGTGCCGGGACGAATGTTTTCTTCATCCAAAGAACTTTTACGCCATACAGGGAAACCTATAGCATACAAGTTTGAGTTGCAACCAATACCGTAGGTGTTTAGGGACTCTTCGGATGGAAGATCAGTTAGTGTGTTTTCGGCAAAAAAACATATATCGAACAGCTGCTGAATAATCCTGGCCATTGCCTGGGGGCTACCGGATGGCATCCAAAGAATTTCGTAGGTTGCGGGGCTCCGATCAAATGTATCACATGATATCATCGATAACATTCATCACCCGATGTAATATAATCTGATTCATGCTCACCTCATTGACGGCTTTCGTACCACGTGCAGCTCTTAGAAATGACCCTTTCATGTGTTCAATGACGTCTTCAATCACTTTTCTTTCCAACTCTTCATTCGACGGATCTAAAATCAGGGAATCAGGGAGCCAACCACTTTTCGACGCCCAGATTAATGATCTTTCTTCTCGGAAAACTGTGGATCTAAAGCTATTGTTAAGGATGCAAAAGGCAATAACAGTGTACCACATGTGAATTCTGAACGGTACTGTAATCGCTCCCTGAATATCCAAGTGACTAGTGACACCAAGTTTTTATACAGACAAAAAGAACTTAGCAGAGCCAAGCACAGAGGAGAGGAGCTCGATTCCCGTCCTACTACCGTTCGCCCTAACCTTTCCACTTGCGTTGTTTCACAGATTGCTAATTTTCAGAAGACAAAGATTCCTAAATCGGATCATCCCAAAATCACGGATGTTTACAGTAAGCGTCCACAATGCAGTACTGTAGTCAAATATCTCATAGTCTTACTGGTATCTGGAAACTATAAGTAGGAATTCTACACTATCTGGAACTGTCTATTCGCTGGAGAGCACAACCTTTCCAGACCATGTCTTTGGGAGAAAGAAATGGCGCTTGGGGAAAATTCATATCCGATATGAGGGCAACGCGAACCAAATAAACCAACGTTTTGCACCATTTACCTGAGTGGCACGGACAAGAATGCCTATCGTCAACACGATGTAACCATCGCCTAAGGGCGCCAGAATCCCTTCTCTGCCACATTGAGGAACATGTCATAAATTTGTCACGAAATCAGAGATATTATTGCTCGCTACGCCCGGTACTTCTCGCTTTGGAAGTTTCCCCAGATGCATATATTCGAGAGTTCTAGGATTTCAATTCTAATAAGGGGCAAGCTCATGAACAAAGATCATAAGGAGTAAAAGTAGAAATAAAACACCCTTCATGCTGTCTACTTCTACTTGCCAAAGATTTTTGTGTAGTTGGTTATAATGAGTGGGTACAGATTGAGCTGACAATGAATTGTAGTCATAAATCGGAAGAATTGGAAAAGTTCCAGTATAAGTGGCCACTACGGTATTTACTTGGTAACGAAAGCTATTTACATTGTGATTTTGTCCTTCCTTCCTGCCCGTCTACCCGTAATTTTCGTCACTGTTCGACAAAAACTAAATCGTCCGTCCTAGCGGAAGTAAATCAATCGTCTGCAATTCATTCATCGCCCCCTTGTCTAATCGAAATATTTTTCTTATTTTTACTCACAAGATAATAGAAAGTGTAGGAAAAGTAGTGGAAATGTTAGAGAAAATGTTATTAATCCATTTTCTTGACACACAATCTTCAGTAATTGGAGAAATCACCAAAAGGGTGATCTTCAGTAACCATATAGAAAAGTGGTCAGAAATATCAAAAGCCATGGAGACTTTTTTCTCGATCATCATTGGAAATTGTCAAGTTTGATTGAAAAATTGTTGTAGTTAAGACTAAAACAGCAGCTGGATAAAACGACCCTATAAGTTGTTACCAGGGGTCTTTCTTTTCTTTTGTGCTGCTCTATTGCATTCTATCTTTTGGTTTGTCTTTTGTTGTTCTTACCCGTTTCGTTATTCAGTGAATAGCCTTTCTTTTGCGACGACAAGTAACCATTGACAATAAAAAANAAAAAATAATTTTGAAGGATTACCTGTTTTACTGATGACTACGTTGGTTGGATCTTGTGCTCCACTGGTTTGTACTGAACGATTAAGCAGGTCTTGCTTTACCAACTTCACCATCCGTTGAACTTCGGTCACCATAGCTTCCAGCTTGTCGAATATAGGTATGACGTCACTTACCTCAAATAATTACCTTCATTCAATAGAATTATGTATTCTACCTTCACTGCTTATCCATTAAAATTATCTAGCTATGCATTTGAAGGAGTGTCAAGTCTGGGGTCCATGAGAGCTCTCCCACCTTCTGGAGTATTCCTCTACCTGTTTGGTAGCTATGCTAGTACTCACCGTCTTATTTACTTCGCAGCAGGGGTGGTCTTCACCTTTCGAATCCTGCCCCTGTGGAGATTAAGGAATTTGCAGTTGGCCCAACTGATTGATGTTAATTGATCGATCGTCTCAGGAACTTCAATCACAGATGGGAATTTTTTTAAGACTCCTACCAGACTGTACGAGAAACAGTATTTTTGGGTGAATGGGCCACCATTGCTGGTTTATGGTAACTACGTAATTCCTTCGACCACTCTTTTCTAAAACTCAGAAAAAAGGTTTTAGTAAGGTCAAAAGACTTTGACCACCGCAGTAGCCCACTAGGAACTACTGTCTCAGGGAACGGCGGGTATTTGAAATTTCCTGGCGTTGAATTGTGGTCGTACAGAATGGGAAGTTCTACACGATCACTGAGGTAAACAGATAGAAGCTCTTCCAGAATGTTGAGTGTCACATAGGGGTGGTATAACAAGACAAGGTTGCGGTCTAACGGCTCTAACCGTGCTCCTCCAGGTTCTGAAGCATTCCTGTACCAGTATGGGTAGTATACTAACACTCGTCATCTCATTTCCTTCACACTAAGGGTGGTCTTTATCCTTCCGGATCCTTTATTCTCAATGAAAATTCAGGAGTATGCGCTCAGAGCGTCTTATATGAAATCACCTGATCGATCGCCATAGCTCCTTCTCACCAACCGGAATTTTTTTAGGAGTCCCACCGAACTAAATGAAAAATAGTAATTTTGGGTGATCGAACCACCTTTGCTGATTAATGGGAATTAAAGATTTTTCCAACCCAGTTCTGTAAGAACTAAAAAAATTCGTTTCAATTAGGGTACGAGACTTTGACCACCCGATCAGCTCCGCGCAAGGTACTGTGTCAGGAAACGGCGGGTGTTTGAATTTCCTTGATAATGGATTGAAGTAGTCCCAATGGGAATTTTTCGAAGTGAATTACGAAGTGAAATCTGTTGATCGATTTCCATACGAGTGAGTGGCTTATTGGGGATGCATTCAAACTATCAAGTTTTCAGAGTTTACTTTATGTGGAAAAATCAAGATAAAGGCTCCTGTGCTGAGGCGATATCGTGAGTTTCCTAATAGGTTTGTATTTGAAGGGATCTTTTCGAAGTGAAGGGAACTGAAAAACTCACAGTTTCTCGGTCTGCGTTTTTTCCACTGGCATCTGTCCATTTTGATGGACGTTCAGCTTCTGGCTCTTCAGAAGAACTGTTTTGGTTTCTAGAAAAATGAATTGTTGTGACTTTTTTTGTAAAGATGCTGCTTTCCACGGTGGGAGAGGCCACAAACCGTATAGAAGCGTTGGTCTGCTCTGGTATCGTCCCAGTTCCTGATGCTCCTTTTGCCGATACAGCTCGTGGGACTTGTTGCTTCAAATGCAGTAACTATTTAAGTTTACGAATCGATTACGGTAAATATAAGCAGTTCATAGCTTCAACACAGATGTATGGCTAGTGAAAGTCAAACATATTTCCCCTTCAAACATACCACTGTCACTGTTTCTTTCCACGTGCTCGTTCCTTTTTCGCCCCTCTCTGTGACCACTGCAACTTCATCGTCAATAAGACGTTTAGATGTATTTCTCGTCGGAGGTTGGTTTACTACGTCGATGGTTGCAACCTAAAATGATCAGTTTAGCTGTTGTCCAATGGCTTGAACCAGATTTGTTAATGGACGTGGGGTTATCCCTGAAAAGCCTGGATGGGCACAGTAGTGGAGTTAGATAGCCGAGGACGTGCAATCTAGTACTTGACCCTGTTGCAGCATTTAGCACTTAAATTATCCCTCACTCACCTGATCCATATTCCAATTTATTTTCGGCTTCCCATGAGAATCTTCCCATAG